GTCCTTTAAGCTTTATTTTACAGCTTATCTGTGAAACTCAAAATCTAAAACAGTGGAATTTTGCAGTAGTGTTACCATGTTTTTTTGTTTGTTGTTTTTTTTAAAAGGGAGTAACAATGTATTGAGACTAACAGAATCCACCAGAGATCTCATTTTCAAGCCATTTGTTTTGACATAAACTTGTAACATTAAAAGAGACTATCACAGAAACATAACTAAAGTAATTGTGAACCAGTGAACATTGCTGCTTTGAGTTAAGTTTGACACTTGGTAAGATAGAAATAAGCATGCAAATTATAACAGAATAAACCTGGGCAAGTTAACTTCACAGGGAAGAAAGGTATTATTGATTGGTTTGTTTAGAGAGCCAATCAAAATAGGCCAGGAAGGGATTGTGTTGAAGAAATATATGTCATGTGCCAAATTTCAAAGGCTTGCAGAACAGTGGTTCTTAAATCAAGGATTAGAACCCAACATTGGATCCCTATGCGATTTGGAGGGTCCCAAAGGCTGGAGTAGGCATATCATAAGGCCAGATGAAATTGCTCATAATAAGAAAAGGTCAGATTAAGATGTTTTGTAAAATTTATTTTGTTATATATTTTCGTACAATGGAAGAGTGGGTAATTTAATTAATTGGAAAATTGTTAATGGGTGCCAAGTTACTGCTATGCATGTATTTCAGTTCCCTGACAATGTAGGGTAAGACGAACCACTGATATAAAAGTCCCTAGCCTTTACATTCATGGATTTATTCATGCATATGTATATATCCACCAGTAAGCCCAGGCTTCACACAGCCGTAAATCAAAAAATAATAATAATAATAAGCCAGTGGCAGAACTAATGTAGCGATGGCCCTGGTGCAAGAAATGTTTTTGGGCCCTCTCTAGCACTGGAATGTAGTGGTTTACTTGTGTGTAGTGCTTAGATTTGAATGCAGGAATGTGTTTCTATCTAGTGATGGCTTTTACCTGCAGGTGTGTTTTTGTGTGTAGTGTTGGTGTTTGAATGAAGGGGTGTTTTTTTATAAGTTTATTATATACGTTTGGAGTTTAAATGCAGCAGTGTGTTTGTATGTTATGTTTATGTTTAATTACAGTGTGTTTGCATGTTATGTTGGAGTTTGATTGCTTGGATGTATGCACATACACACATACTTTGCAACATACATACATACATACTTACACAGATATACATACACTTTAACACACACACATATAAGCACACTTAAGCATACACACACCAACATATACACATACCCTGACACACAAATACACACATTGACACATGAATACAAACTCAGATACACACACTGATACATACAAACATCTTTACACACAGATACACTTACTGGCACATATACAAACCTTGTATGGCACATATACAAACCTAGATACACTTACACACACCTTGGCACAGATACACACACCATGTAACACAGATACACGCACTCACACAAATAGATAGATGCACACATACATGTCAAACGTTATATATTCATAGCCACCCTTCTATTAAAATATATTATATTTTGTGTGCAGGATGTTGGCTGTCTCATTGTCCTCTTTATGCTGGCTAAGGCTGATGTGAGTGTGGAGCTTGAGCTTTCCCTGCTCCTCTCCATTCGTGTGCCTTCTCCTCTCCGTTCCACACAATTCTACTTGCCTGTGGGAGAAAGTGACCTGCTTTCACTTCTGTCCTGCATTGTCGGTACCCCATTTCAGCAAAAGTGTGTGGGCCACCCTATGGGCCCACTAAGTATGCGGGCCTCCGTGCATATAGGCCATGACTGCAGAACACACATACGCTTATTGTATATATTAATGCTTAGTTCTTATTTCATATGTGAGATACCTTCAATAACCGTAATCTTAAAGTAAGACTTAGTAGGGGGAAAAAACACTTTTAATAAATATTACAATAAAAAAATATTCATTTAATATTTTTTGCATATTTTAAGGGGTAGGAGGGTATACAAAAGCAAGCTTTATCTGTAACTAGTGTATAAAGCTAATGTAAGCCTTCCTCATTTTGTCCAGTGCAGACTTTCCTGTCCAGAATGAGACTTTTCATTGCAGGCAAATCACATACACAGATGGCTGACCAATCATACACTTTTCAGTAAACCGGAAAAAATAAAAGGTTGCAGGGACAGGTAATTTAAAGGGACACTATAGTCACCTGAACAACTTTAGCTTAATGAAGCAGTTTTGGTGTATAGAACATTCCCCTGCAGCCTCACTGCTCAATCCTCTGCCATTTAGGAGTTAAATCCCTTTGTTTATGAACCCTAATCACACCTCCCTGCATGTGACTTGCACAGCCTTCCATAAACACTTCCTGTAAAGAGAGCCCTATTTAGGCTTTCTTTATTGCAAGTTCTGTTTAATTAAGATTTTCTTATCCCCTGCTATGTTAATAGCTTGCTAGACCCTGCAAGAGCCTCCTGTATGTGATTAAAGTTCAATTTAGAGATTGAGATACAATTATTTAAGGTAAATTACATCTGTTTGAAAGTGAAACCAGTTTTTTTTTCATGCAGGCTCTGTCAATCATAGCCAGGGGAGGTGTGGCTAGGGCTGCATAAACAGAAACAAAGTGATTTAACTCCTAAATGACAGTGAATTGAGCAGTGAAATTGCAGGGGAATGATCTATACACTAAAACTGCTTTATTTAGCTAAAGTAATTTAGGTGACTATAGTGTTCCTTTAACCTTAGATTACTTAAAGGACAACTGTTACCTGAAAACTATTTTTTAATAGAATAATCATTTTATCAAGCTTTGAAAGAAAATGATCTTTATTAAAATAAAGTAGATGTAAAAGTTCTGCACAGGGCATGAAGCAGGGAAGATCACAGAATAACTGTTGGAGTAGCTATTCATTTATAACAAGGTTTAATTCTTACCCTTTGCAGTGACCTGTACGGTGTACATGGCATCAGGCTGGCATGTCTAATACCTTTGCCAGTGTGAAATAGATCCAGTTAGTAATGACAGTATACAAGCAATAACATAGATACTTTATCTATTTTTTTTTTAAAGCTTTTTCATATATCCTTGCTACCTGATATAATCAAACCTTTTTTACAAAATAGCCTGGATATTGATTAATGTTGTTTTTTTACATTTTCCACAGAACAGAAATGTGTACACTATAAAAACGCCAAGAGAACTTGAAGCCTACAAGTGAATTAAACAGCATGAAGTTCCATAAGTTTTTCTACGCGTTTTTTCCTGCACGGAACCAAATGGAGTATAATGGAAAAATGCCAATTACAATGGTGAGTTAAATCAAATGTCCATAAATGTGAAGTTGAAAAAGGGTTTAATATAGTAAAATTATATAGGTAAATATAAGTTCATGTGGTTGTAGGATAGTGCTAATTCTTTGCACAGTTTGTAAAGGCCTTTGACGGTGACTGCTCCTTAGGATGTCCAGTGGCCACAGGGTGCAGGGTAAGGTTTTACATAACTGAGCCGGTCCTTTGCGACAGCTGCCATTGTCTTCCTGATGATCCGCTTCAGCTCCTTGTTTTTCATCTGCCAGGAGCCAATCCCATTTGACCGCAGGATTCTCCATAGACAAGGCCTTTTCCCCTCACTCTTCACTAGTTATGGCTGGGGGGAAATTACAAAACTTGAGATAGCTCTGACTTGTCAGGAATAGGAAATATACTAAGAGAAAGTAGTCCTTCATATCTCTGGCGATCAATTTTGAAGGCATAGGACTTGAGGAAATGTAAGCCCTCAATGTATCGGTCTATGTTGTTGTGAACTGGTGTACATACATGTATTACTGTATAAAAGTATTTTAGTTTTATAATAGTTTGATATTTTTTAAAATACTTTTTGTTTATATTTTTGTATTTTAATCTGTAAAAATTTTGTTTTAAAAGTTTAGCCAGAAATATTTAGTCAGATTTAAACTTAGTCAAACGATATTAAATCAAGGCCATGGTTTGGGAACTAGTTCTTTGGGGAGCACCATAAGATGTTTGGGATCCTAAATTAAACATCATATGGTGCTCCCCAAGATCCAAAAATCCAAGTGACTGCATGTGTTTGTCTACACAACTTTCAAAAAATATTTGTGAACGTTTGAGAATGATTGCAGTTTCTGCATTATTTGACAAAAACATGATTTTATCTTTATCTTCAACATAATTAGGACTGGGCTAGAGCTCAACTTCAGCTTATCAGGAATTTGGCAGTCAGCCCTATTAACCCACCCATCATAAATTCTGCCCTCAATCAATGCTCCTGTTAACTAAATTACAAAATAAAGTTAATAACGCTGGGAGTAATTCCATCTGCATGTTGAACCTCTTTGTTCAAATTTCTCTAAGCCTGCTGGAAAATATACGTGGAACCTTAGATTCATCAATTAGTTAGATCTCCTTTAGTAGCACTGACTTAAGTAAGCAAACATTTTCTGTACCAGTTGGTCAGCCATGCATCGACAATACAGAGGTAGATTGGTCCATTACTCTACAGAATGGTCTCCAGCGATTAAGATTACTGGGCGGTGTTCCGTAAACTGCTGACTTCAGGTTGTGCCACAACATTCCATTTGTGTTAATGTCAGGCCTGTGATTCAGCTGTTACAAAACGCAACATTTCTACTGCTTCAGCTATTCTGTTGTAGGTTTGTTTTTGCTTTGAATTATTGTTGTGCTACAGGTTCCACATTCTGTTCGGCTTCAGCTCCCAGATGGACATCCTGCCATTTTCCTGTAAAACTTGCTGATATTATCCTGAATTAATTTTTCATGATTGTAAGCTGTGCCAGTCATGTAGTTACAGGCGAGTAATACAAAAAACTGCTAAACACTTATATATATACAGCAAACCACCTGATTTGTGTCAAAAGACAAAGCCTGTAAGTGTCGGCACTTAGTGAATGTGTCCCTATGAGTTAATCTCAGGGATATCAGAAAGCAATTTTGTACAATAGGAGAACCTGATTAATAGTCCATAAGTCTCATATAAAATAAAGAAATGAGCAGGAACAATAAAAAGTGATGGAAAAGATAATAGTCACAAAGGGGAACAGGCAGAATCTGTATCCATATCAGTGTTGATACAGATTCTGCCTGTTCCCCTTTGTGACTATTATCTTTTCCATCACTCTTTATTGTTGTTCCTGCTTATTTTTATATTTTATATGAGACTAATGGACTATTAATCAGGATCTCCTATTCTACAAAATTGCTTTCTGATATCCCTGAGATTAACTCATAGGTGCACATTCACTAAGCGCCGACACTATATATATTGCTATCTATTTTCAAGAATTTGGGAAGTTCTATCTGTGTCTTGGCTGCTGGTTAAATTATATGGTATAGGTATCACAAAACATTTTGCATATTGGTGATACAATATTACATATTTAACGACACTATATAATCTAATTTATATTTTATTGATACTATTTTGTGCTCTCTTTTCTACATTTGATTTTGATTCTTATAGATGAGCTTTGGGGGCCCAATACACATATGCAGCAAGTGCCGCACACATATCAAATTTCCCAATAGGAAATCATTGAGTCAATGCTTTCCTATGAGAGCTGCAGTCATTTGATCACATTATACTAAAAAAAACTGCAGAGTGTTACATTGCAGGGTTAAACCTACAGGACTCGAGCCACTTCATTGGGATAAGGTGGCCTGGGTGACTTTAGTGGACCTGTAAATATAGTTATAAGTAAACATAAAAATGCAAGGTGCAGTGTGCAAAAAGTGACTTCCCTTTTAAATTATTATTTTTTTTGGTCCTGGCTTCCTCATGGACTTTAGTCATTTAAAAAAGAGATGCCTTCAGCTTTTAACCTGACGTTCTACATGATCTCCTTTCTACGTGCTGCCTTTTAAGCTGAATCAAAATTATTGGAAAGAGTAAAAAATGGTTACTTTACTCCCACATTTTTCTTATATTCCTGACATTTAATTGTCAGAGTCTTTAACCCTTTTCATCATCCTGAACATCAACATCTCTTTTTCTGAGATGATTGGTAAACTATTCTGATCAGGAATTAATCCCCTTCACCAGCACACGGTGACATTGCTTTATAGGGAAAAACACTATATTGCCGTAATCATCGATCTGAACATCTGATTTAACAGGCCATTATGTTAGTGCTTTATATACATTTTTAAATGGGGTGGCGCCAGCTGACTCGCAACACCATAACCATAACAATGGTCTGTTGTGGTTATGGTGCTTCAAGTGTTCCTTTAAAGAGAGAATTGACAATTTCCTTCTTTCTTCACCCCAGTAAACGAATAAGCTTACCTCCGCTGCCCCTGTGATGCCTCAGGCACACGCATGCATGTTTGGGTCTCTAACAGAGAAATTCAGTATGAATTCATGCTGCTCAAAATGCTATACATACACATGCATCTTGCATATAGCACTACAACAGTTAAACGATTTAAATACTTTGGCCAACCGTGGCAGACAAAGTTTGTAAGGAAAAGTCTTAATAAATGTGAAGCAACCCATAGCTAAGTTGTAGTTAGTTATTTGGTTGTACTAAAAGGGAGGAAATCACAGTTCCACTTTAAAAACAATCGTATTCTTCTGTGAATATCACCATTCACCAATCCTGACAGTTTTCTAGAACATACCATAAGTATGAACAGATAACATGTATTAACTTTTTTCCCCCTTCCTTTTCAATCACAAATTATATATAGAGAGGTTAGACATCACAGCCTTAGACTTAACACACAAACAGCTTAGCAAAAAAATAAAAATAAAATAAAGAAAATGACTATACACAATAACCAGACCATGAAATAAGATTTTCAGATTTTGGTCCAAAATTGCTGAATTGAAAACAGTAGATATGAAAAATGAAGAGAGCCCTTTTTTAGAAAAACAAAAACAAAACACTGTCGCAGATTCTGCTGTCATTAGTGCGGCTAAGTTGGTTTTAATTCCTACAGTTATTTGTCATCAAATTCCACATTCTCGGCCTGCAGTCAGAAAAACAACATATGATAAGATTTCTCCATCGGAAAAAAAAAGATTATGTTTTTAATTTTTTTCCCTGTAATAATAATAGAACACAAATGGGACATTCATTTGCATATTATAGTCACATATGATAGTCATCTGCTTATGGTAGGGGAGAAAGAATTTAATCATTTATTAATAACATTCATTATTGATCGAACTGGAATTTTGGATTACATAATCTAAAATAATGGTTCTAAACCCATAGGTTAGGGTCCACATTGTCACTGGCATTTGTGTACAATAAATAAACAACATTGATTATCCCATGTGCACATTTTGGGTCCTTGTCAAAAAAGGTTAGAACCACTGATCTGTGGGGATTGGAGGCACAAACGAAAAAGTAATTAGGAATGTACACATGTTCTCATTTACTCCAAAATGAATATCTGCTGAAACAATTATGTGGTAAACAGGTGGTGGATCTGCAGAGAGAGTTGGAAAGGCTGCAGGCAGGGAATCGTCAGATGGTGCACACCAGATATTTTATACATCAAAAAGAAACAAAAATCAAACATTATGTTTTCAAAGTCATCAATGTCTCAAACTTGAAATGGAATTGTCACATCTGAAATTTTTGTACAACCCAATAGCTAAAAAGTTGGCTATGAATTTTTTTTTTTATTTATTCCAAAAGATTTACATTTTTTATTCACATTGTATGCCTAGCTGACCAAGCACACCAAGGACATATGGTGTATATTTTGTTAACCCTCAAAATGCTGTGAACATGATTGCCATGAGGATACATGAGCCGGTATGATACATTAAAAGAAATGTCAAACACACTTGTAATGCAACCCCTGGACAACAGTTACCATTGATCCTGTGGGCCTTTGAAGACATGTCTCTTGTTGTAATAAGACCATGAACGTATACTGTGGATGATGGGTAGCTTGACAGTAGCCACACATACAACTTTCCCATAGTGACTACCAGTGACTGCTTTTTCAAATATTTGGGTTGGGAAGTTACTGACGTGGGTTGGACAATGTTGTTGATTTCTGAGGGTCAGACGAAAATGTTCTGTGCTCCTTGTACTCTTGTATCTCCATGTGACACTCCTAATGTGTGCAGTTTCTCGAGAGGTCAGTCAAGATTCCCCCGTTGGTGTTGACATGTTATTCTTACACAAGCCTCTGCTGGGGTATTAATCTTTTTCCCACTGAATAGTATAGGTGGCTTTTTTGAGCTACAGCCGATCTCCTCTTTATTTTTACCGATCTCTTCTACCTTCATCTACACTCGTCTCATGCACCTGCACAAGAAAACTGAGTGGCAATACTTTTTTCTCAAGCGATATCCTTCACCATGCTAGACCAGAAGGCTGACGCAAATGGTAGGTATCTTTTTGTAAAAGGTTTTATAATTTCCCAGATTTACACCTTCGTCTAGGTCTATGCCCCATACTTGGGGAAGCTTCTTAAAAACCACACTTGCCTTGCTAGCCAAGTTTCAGGAGGTTGTTATAAAAGTTAGGAGAGATTTTAATGTCCTGCTTGATCTGCAGGCACTTCCCAAATACCCCGAGTTATGCGCTAGCTACCGACCTATATTGCTCTTAAATTGTGATATCAAGATCCTAGCCAGGATCTTAGCATTAATTTATGCCTTCCCTAGTTAGAGCAGACCAGTATTTTTTTGCTTGGCAGAGAATCCATGGACTGATCTGTTTCCTCAATATCATGCATCTGACTTTTTTGAATTTTTGAAAATTGAATGTAGAGAAAGCATTCAACAGGATGGACTAGGTGTTTATGCACTTAACACTCTGAAAGATGGGCTTAGGGGAGAACTTTGGCAAATGGATCCATTCATTGTATTCGGCACCAAGAGCTTGGGTTAGGATTAATGGGGGTCTTTAAGAACTAGTAAAAGTCCTGAACAGTACCCACTAGGAATGTGCCCTTTCACCCCTGCTATTTCTGCTATATCTTGAACCCTTTCGGGAGGCCTTTAGAAGAAATTAGATTATTTGAAGGTTGATACTCTGGAATGGACCACAAATTCTCCACATATGTGGGTGACTTGCTTTTTTATGTGGAACAACCAATGACAACTCTTCCCAACATCTTACAGGAGTTTTGCACCTACGGTGAAATAAACAACTCAGAACTCAGTCTTGTCTAAAGGTCCCTAACAGTTCAGCAGATCACCTTTGCACACATTGTGCTGGGATCATTTAAAATATTTAGGGGTGGAGTGTGAGGCAGCAAGGGAGCATATTGAAAACTTGGTACCAACTTCATTTTCATTCACCACTTTCAACTAATTTTGGACCAGTGCATCCAAAAACTGGTGATTTTTCCTGCCCTTTGGGTATCTAAGGGCCTTTGAGTTCCTAGGCAAGGGCCCATATATCTTTGTAGCGTCTGATGCCCCTTCCTGAACTGACTCAATAGAATAGACAACAGATAGATCTACCAATTACACTAGCTCAAAAACTTTTATACTTCAATAACGCCTTGGATGGCCCTTCACAGACAACTTATTCCTATTGAATAAATATGTTATCGTACAGAACCTTTGTATCGCATCATTTACCTAAGACCAAATACTCCTAGCTGCGTCCCAGAATCCCATTCAGGTTCAAGTACCATTGGGAGGAAGTCATGCAGTTATCCTTTACAGACCCAAACTGGACAAAAATGACATTGATGCATCTTTGTTCTCAATGCTCAAAAATCAAGAAAGTAATTATAAAATGGTACAACACACCAGAAAAACTGCAGACAATCTTCCCAGAGGTAACTGATAGGTGTTGGGCATGCACATTCTCTGGGAATGTCTGACTCTATCTCCTTTTTGGCCAAGAGTGTATGAAGTTATCACCATGGTGGCAGATGAGTATGTGGACTTTAATCCTGCAGGTTTACTTCTGAACCATAATAAATTGCCCATATCAAAGAAGATATGCTATCCAACAGTTGCTTGCAGCGTCAAAATCCCTAATGCCTGCCTTCTCGTTGCGAAGGGACTTACCAACACACCAGTTGGTTGGGTCAAGTTTAGGAGATTCACCAGATGGAGGAGCGTACAGCGACTCTGAAATTACGTTTAGACAAACATGAGGAAGTGTTGAGAACATGGCAATATTAATTGAGTACCTCCAGTTAAAAAAGAAAGCTTTTATG